AACAAGTAAACTCAAATATTTATAGAGTTCTCCATTTTAAATACACAAAATATTGATCGGCCATTATTAATACCCATTTTTAGAATGAAGTAATATTCCTGTTCTCTCTCCCTCTTTTTCTTCCTCCTTCTTCCTCTCCTTCTCTCCTTTTGTTACTTTTCAACATCCTAGTTCCTCACCTCTACTCAATACATTCCTCTGAACACCTGATTCCTTGTGATTCTCCCGTCCCACTGAAACCTCCAAAAAAAAAAAAAAAGAACATTAATAAACTAGACTACCTTAAAAATAGGATCACCATTAAGAGAGTGAAAGTTCACAGAGTAGGAAAAATGATCTATATTAAATATTATTGAAAAAAAAAAGAAACCAAATAAAAGCAGGGAAAGCATTCAGGATTGGGGTTACCTACATAAAGTTAGAAGACATTGGTAAAGTTTTTTTTTCTTCTGTAGGATGAAATATTTCATAATAAATAGTAGCAGTGATGACGCCTGTCTGTACTACTGCTAAGTGTGGGATCTAAATGCAGTGTCTGCTGAGAATTATGAAACTTGGTGTTCTGAACCCCAAACTGTGTTTTCCAATTTAATAAATATTATTGCCTAGATCAGAGGAGCATCTCCTGTGCTTATGAGGTCTTAACCAGCAATAGGAGACTTGGGATTGCTGGTAGTCCTTGCCATAAATTCTTCCCAACTCAAGATAGCATAAAGGGTGACTAAAGTCAAGAATAACTTACTGTACATTTTAAAATAACAAAAATAGTATTATTGGATTGTTTGTAACACAGAAGATAAATGCTTGAGACAAAATATACCCCATTTACCCTGATGTGATTATTATACATCATAAGCCTTTATCAAAATACCTTATGTACCCTATAAATACATACCCCTACTATGTACCCTCAAAAATTAAAAATTAATAAAATTTAAAAGATATTTGATAATAATAAAACTAGACAGTGACTTAATGGGATAATTTTCTTATCCATGAAAGGAGCATTTAAGCAGATGGCAAGTGACCAAATGGAATAAATAAAAGTGACCTCTTATAATATACAGATCATTGTTCTACCAATTTCCTTTCAATCCAAAATGACTATGATATCCAATTATTTTCTTGGGATTTTTTTTTAGCCAACTTTCATCCCACTGATCATGCAAGCATCTGAGAATTATTTTCCCAATTAATCAATTGCTTCAATTATTACCCATGTCTGACTATTCTTGACTTCTAAGTCATGGCATTCATGAATTTGCTCTCCCCATTTGCTCATTAATATTATTTATATTTCTCTTCCTTTTATTGATGGCTAGTTAGCATGTCTAACAGAATTATATCAGCCAGAGGCCGCCAATGCTTAGTTGGTTTTTTGTTGTCAAAATTAGTATTTTATTACTGTATCAATCTTCTATTCTCCAATATAGAACTAATATACTTAGAATGAGTCTTGAGACTAGAAAAGAATACTGTCTCAGTAAAATGCCTGGGGTTGATAGACCTGCTAGACTAGTCTATTTATGTTAACTGCAAAGATATTACAGATATCAACCAAATAGCAACTGATAACAGGGAAATGGGTTCTGCTGATCTCAGCAAAATGAAGTTTCAAAATTTCCCTCTTTAACTCTTTCCTATATATATCTGCTCTCATAGCCAGATAGCTAAGAAATTATTTATTTCTATCCTAAGTCTTTCGTCCTATAGTATAAAGTCATTTCTTTCTTCTTTTCTTTTTTTTTTTTTTTTTTTTGGTTCTCTACAACTGAGTATCTCATTAAGTAGAATAATTTTTTATTGTACAAAATAAAAAACACAAATTGTTTCCAAAAGATCAAGGGCATATCAGTCATGCACATCACATGCAATATCGGTCATACTGATGGACTACAACAAGAATCATAAAACACATTGGCAGCTATCCTTGCTATGCTAAAAATATAATATGTTGATAAAAATAATGTGCCCAGTTTGCTCAAATAAGAGATGTTAACAGCCACATATTTCCCTGTGTTGGATGGTAACGGTTATAACAAAAGTGAAATACATTTTGTGCAGATCAATAGTGCTCCCCAAACAATTGACACACGATTTTCTACTTCTTGCAGTAGTATGGCAACTAGTCTTTGATATTCACTGTAGATATAGAACCAAACATAATACACTATCAAAAACATAAAATTGATTTTATTTTACTGCTCTGTTGGAAGAGGACTACAAATTATTTCACACCCTTCAAGTATATACAACATAATCTGTAGTATTTAGGATTGCTAAAGTTTGCACCTACTTAAGAAATTCTGAATTTCTTTTCTTAACAACTAGGAATGACTACATTGAGCTAGAGAGTGTGTTACCTTACAAAGGTCATCTTGATACACTCCTGAAAACTTCATCTGTGCATTTTACTTCAGCTACATGCAAATAGTTTCTTTATGTGGCTGAAGGAAGGAGTTTTCCTTCTGATTATAAAAAGGTCAAATCATAATTTTTTAAAAGACATACCTCAAAGGAAAATAGGATAAATAAATAAATACTAACATTCCTATGGAAACAACCCCTTTTAATTATCCCTAGGACTGTGTTGCATTATAATTTACATTCTGGCCAGCTGAGGTTCAAATTAGATAGCTCCGTGGGTGATAGGAACCCTGAGTCCCATGAAGATCCTCAGGACACAGGTGACTGTTTCAATTATTTCCCTTGGATTGTTTATCCAGACTTGGTGTCAGCATGGGGCAAAGTATTGGGAGTGTAATGCATGTAGCCATGTAATTATGCATTTAAGCATACTTTCCTAATTAATTTAAATATGCCTCAAAAACTTACATGACATGAACCTGAAAATTCCTGTGGTCTAGTCATTGGATATAATCAATGATCCCCGAAGTGAGAGTTAGTCCCCTCATTCACAAGCTTCTGAAAGATGCCTTTTCATAAAGAAAATCATATTACTGTAATTTCAAAATTTGGAGAATACTATTTATCTCTTTTATAATATTAATTTTTAGTTAAAAATGAGGCTGAGGCTGAAAATGTTTTCAGCAACTGATAATCTGGTTGCTACCTAAAGCAGCACAAAACAATCTGCAGGAGCATAAACATTGCTCCTACCATATGATAAATGACTCCTAAAGGACACTCAGACAGTAGTCAGAAGAGCAGAGCTGAGAAGAACAGAAAAATGATGGCTAAAGTTGTTGATATTTATGCCAAAATATTCCCAAATAAGAGAGCAAAGTGGGCCAACTCTTAGACAAAGAAATGATTCAGATGCATTCCCAGAGAAGCTCCTATGCAAGAATGTGCCTATTATTCTTCATCTCAGTGTCTAGCCACCCACAAGTGGCCTCATGCCTTGATTCCCGACCTGGAACACATCCATGTTTAGAAAACAGTTATTATTTTTTATCTCTGGGAAAATATTGATTCCTGTTCATCTTTCTTTGATGAATATTTCTCAAACTTATAATTTACTGGGAAAAAATGGAACGGTGGCTCATTTTCCTTCATGAGTACGTGCTGTTTAACTTTGATGTGCAGCGTGACACTGTTTCCTTTCTGGAAGGTCAGGCCACCTGCCCTCCCAGGCTCCTTACACAAATCATTGTGGTGCCTTACAACACAAGCTGAAGGTAGGCTCATTTTCCCTTACACGATTTTGTTTCCAAGTTAGAATTAGGTGTTAGTGAAGTCAGAAAGAGACAGTTCTTGCTAAAGCAACTTCCAGTGGGGTTTAAAAAACAAACAAACAAACATAAACACCCCAATATACGAACATCATGAAGTTAAAATAGCCAGCTTCAGACTCACTCCTGAGGATGCAGAGTTCTATAGAATAACAGCAGTCTGGTCAGCAAGTGAATGACACTTGCTTGTATGTATAGATATCTAAGGTTTTCAAGCAAAGGCATAATGGTTTAAAAGCAGAGCAGAGAAACTGAAGGAATCAGCCAGAAAATATAAAATGAGCTAAACTAGACTTTGCTGAAACCATAAAATTTTCCCAGATAAGTCATACACATTGATTCTTGTAAACTTTCATTAAATGCCAGCAAATTTCATTAATACATTACACAATTATTTTGTAATTAGTTATTTTTGTAAAAGAGTGATTTAATTTGGGCCAGGCGCGGTGATTCATGCCTATAATCGCAGCACTTTTGGAGGCCGAGGCAGGTGGATCACGATTTCAAGAGATCGAGACCATCCTGGTCAACGTGGTGAAACCTCGTCTCCACTAAAAATACAAAACATTAGCTAGGCAAGGCGGTGCATGCCTGTAGTCCCAGCTACTCGGTAGGCTGAGGCAGGAGAATTGCCTGAACCCAGGAAGCAGAGGTTGCAGTAAGCTGAGATCATGCCATTGCACTCCAGCCTGGGTAACAAGATGGAAACTCGGTCTCAAAAAAAAAAAAGGTGATTTAATTTCTGGTTTATCTTCCATTTATGGGGGATGTGCTCTGAAAGAATGGGCTCACCATCTGATGGCAATTATAGGCATTAGCCAATGTAGTTCAGGAGAAATTCCAGAGTTTTAGATTCAGTCATGCAGTGCATGATATCAAAAGCAGATATAGAGAGATACAGAAGCATATATATTATATGAAGTAATTCAAAGGCATATGTAACTTATAATATTAATTTTAATGTGAAATATTACCTCTAAAAGCAGGCTCATTTCTTAGATTTTAAGGAACAGCAAGAAATAGTTAATACTTACTGGGTAAATGTTCTTCCAACTTTATGATGAATCAATGTACTATGTTGTCTCGTCATGTAAATTCCTCACAATTAAATGCCAGGTAGTCATAGCATTTGCATGTTAGGACTTTACAAACTGAATGTAGTCTTAAAATATGATTGTCTTTGGAATTTAAAAACACACCCTTGTAAAGACTGATATGAATAACTTTTGATTAAAAAATTAAAATAACAGAGCTAGATTGTCTTTGAACCAAAAGCAATAGATGTAAAATCATAGTGGTACTTACCACAGTGAAATTCATAACTTTCAATATCCATATTGTCATGGCTAAGTTAACTATCATGGTAACCAACAGCAGAAGGACAAAGAAGTATAAGCACCTCTTTCGCCATCCATAAATTCCCACTGGGTAAAGCTGTGCATTTTCTGTCCTTGGCAGGTTATTCTGTTGTGTTGCTAGTATGTATTGTTCTCGGGTCATCTGAAAAAGAAAAAAGAAAGGAAAAGAAAGAAGGAAAGAAAAGAGGAATTTAAAAAATAAACCCATGATTGTTTTTTTTTTTTTTTAAAGACACAATGTACCTTAAAATAATGGGAAGTGAGTGTTCAAATAATTGTTGTTGTATAATTAAAATGCTACAGAAATCTTCGAATAATTTTCATCAATATAGTTTTTTAGAACTCTTAAATTCAATGTTATATCCACCAGATATACATTATTTCCAGTCAGGTTTGCCCGATTTCAACAGTATGCATTTATCTTGGGCTGCTCAGAAGACTACCAGGTCTACCTTTAGTTACCAGTAACCAAAGAACTCTACTCATGTACAAGTGATATAGTTTGGATCTGCTTCCCCAACCAAATCTCATGTTTAATTGTAATCTCCAGTGTTGAAGGTGGCGCTTAGTGAAAGGTGATGAGATCATGGGAGTGAACTTTCCCCTTTGGTGCTATTCTCGTAATGGAGTTCTCAAGGTCTTAGTTGTTTAAGTGTGTGGCACCTCCCTACTCTCTCTTGGACCTGCTCCTGCCCTATAACACATGTCTGCCTTCCCTTTTTGCCTTCCACCATCACTGTAATTTTCCTGAGGTCTCCCAGAAGCGAAAGCCACTATGCTTCCTGTACAGTCTGTAGAACAATGAGCCAATTAAACCCCTTTCCTTTATAAATTACCCAGTCTCAGTTATTTCTTTATAGCAGTGCAAGAATAGATTAATACACCAAGCTACTCTTAGACTATGCTTTACCTATTTTGTGGTAGAGAGAGACTAACTACATCACGAGAATTTTCCATACCTTTCTCTAAACATGTGGGATACAAACGGTTCAGTATATATGCTTCAATAAAAATGTCAGTGAATTTTCAAGAACCTATAAAAAATACATGTTTGTGTGGATTTATTTAGACAATAGGTATCAAATTAAAAGTTTTAATTCAGAATTCTGTAGGTTATTTTAGTTTTATTTCAGTGAGTTATCAGAAAAACACTGAACTCAAGGACACCATATACTATACTATTTCATAATGTAATAAAATTAGAAGTCAGTTTTGAAAAAGTGAAGAATATCATCTTCACTTTTTAATTATATATTTAAATTGAATGCATAAATTCAGGTTCTAGAATTCTTTTGATAAGTGAATGAGTTTTTTACTCTTTTATACTACTTAGAAATATAGATGAGTAAAAAGTATGAATCAGTATTGAATATGTCTTAAGTGTAAAGTTTTCAGAATAACATATTTATTACCTGAAGGATGGAAAGTGATATTATAATTTTCTATAGGACAGTAATTGTTCAGTATTATTTCTTCAGTTTTTTTCTCAGATTGCTTTTATTCTATATTCATTAAATGATTAACAGAAATACTTCTGAATAAATTACACACAAGTAAAACTAGCACTAATAAGTAATTAAAATTATGTTAATATAAAATTATGTACTACAAAACGATTGCTATAATGTTCATTGACCCAATCCTACTGCAGATAAAATATTGCAATTTTTTCTTTCCCATAGGTTTTTGGGGAACAGGTGGTATTTGGTTACATGAGTAAATTATTTATTGGTGATTTGTGAGGTTTTTGTGCATGTGTCCCCTGAGCAGTATATATAGAACCTAATTTGTAGTGTTTTATCTTTCACCCACTTCTCACTGTTTAGCTGAGTCCCCAAATTTCATTGTATCATTCTCATTCCTTTGCATCCTCATAGCTTAGCTCCCACTTATGAGTGAGAACATGGAATGTTTGGTTTTCCATTCCTGAGTTACTTTTACTTCATTTAGAATAGTCTCCAATCTCATCCAGGTTGCTGTGAATGCCATTAATTTATTCCTTTTTATGGCTGAATAGTATTCCAACTACTCATACAATGCATATGCATGTATACATGTTGGAATACTACCCAGCCATAAAAAGGAATATACATATATATGTGTATATATATACACACACACACACCACAACCTCTTTATCCACTCATTGGTTGACCGGCATTTGGGCTGGTTCCATATTTTTGCAGTTGTAAATTGTGCTGCTATAAGCATGCATGCGCAAGTATCTTTTTTTGTATAATGACTTCTTTTCCTCTGGGTAGATACCCAGCCATGGGATTGCTGGATCAAATGATAGTTCTACTTTTAATTCTTTAAGGAATTTCTACACTATTTTTCCTAATGGTTGTACTACTTTACATTCCCACAAGCAGTGTAGAAGTATTTCCTTTTCGCCACATCCCCAACAATGCCTATATTTTGATTTTTTGATTATGGCCATTCTTGAGGTAGTAAGGTGGTATTGCATTGTGGTTTTTATTTGTATTTCCCTGATTAGTAGTAGTGTTGAACATTTTTTCATGTTTATTGGCCATTTATATATCTTCTTTTGAGAATTGTCTATTCAAGTCCTTAGTCCTCTTTTTGATAGGATTTTTTTCTAGTTATTTTGTTTGAATTCCTTGTAGATTCTGGATAATAATCTTTCATTGGATGTATAGGTTGTGAAGATTTTCACTCAGTCTATGACTTGCCTGTTTACTTTGCTGAGTGTTCCTTTTGCCATTCAAAATCTCTTTGGTTTAAGTCCCAGCTATTTATCTTTGTTTTTATTGCATTTGCTTTTGGATTCTTAGTCATGAAGTCCTTGCTTAAGTCAATGCCTGGAAGGGTTTTTCCCATGTTATCTTCTAGAACTTTTATAGCTTTAGGTATTAGATTTAAGTTCTTGATTCATCTTGGGTTGATTTTTGTATAATATGAGAGAAGAGGTTCCAGTTTCATTCTCCTACATGTGGCTTGCCAATTATGCCCACACCATTTGTTGAATAGAGTGTCCTTTCCCTGCTTCATGTTTTTATTTGCTTTGTTGAACACAAATAGACAATCTAAGGTCACACCACAAAGAACTAGAGAAAAAAGAAAAACCAAACCCAAACCCAGCAGAAGAACGAAAATAACAAACATAAGAGCAAACATAAATGAAATGGAAAAAAACACAAATAAAAATACAAAAGATACATGAAATACAAAGCTGGTTCTTTGAAAGATAAATAAAATTGAGAGACCGTTAGCAAAATTAACCAAAAAACGAATCATGAAGATCCAATGAAAATAGGAGATATTACAACCAACACCACTGAAATACAAAAGATCATTTAAGGCTACTGTGAACACCTTTATGTGCATAGAATATAAAACCTAGAGGAGATAGATAAATTCCTGAAAATATACAGAAATTTATATTCTTAAATATAAAATATATTTATATTCCTGTAAAACTACCTTAAATCAGGAAGAATTAGACACCCTAAATAGAGCAATAACAAGCAGTGAGCTTGAAACTATAATAAAAAAATTACCCATAAAAGACTCCAGGACCAGATGGATTCACAGCTGAATTCGGCGAGACATTCAAAGAAGGAATTGGTGTCAGTCCCACTGACACTATTCCAAAAGCTAGAGAAAGAGCGAGCTGGGCACAGTGGCTCACACCTGTAATACCAGTACTTTGGGAAGCCAAGGCAGGTGGATCACTTGAGGTCAAAAGTTTGAGACCGAGCACAGTGGCTCACACCTGTAATCCCAGCACTTTGCAAGACCAAGACAGGCAGATCAAAAGGTCAGGAGATCAAGACCATCCCAGCCAACATGGTGAAGCCTGTCCCCACTGAAAATATAAAAATTAGCTGGGTGCAGTGGTGCACACCTGTAATCTTAGCTACTGGAGAGGCTGAGGCAGAAGAATCACTTGAACATGGGAAGTGGACATTGCAGTGAGCAGAGCTTGCACCACTTCACTCCAGCCTGGTGACAGAGCAAGACTCCATCTCAAAAATAAAAAGAGTTTGGGACCAGTCTGGCCAAGATAGTAAAATCCTGTCTCCACCAAAAACACAAAAATTAGTTGGGCCTGGTGGTAGTTGCCCATAATCCCAGCTATTTGGGAGGCTAGGGCAAGAGAATTGTGTCAATCTGAAAGGCGGAGATTTCAGTGAGCAGAGATTGATTTTAGTGAGCAGAGATTGTGGCACTGCACTCCAGCCTGGGTGACTGGGTGACAGACTGAGACTTTCTCTCAAAAATAAAAAATAAAATAAAAAAAGTAAAGAAAAAGTGAGAGAGAGAGAAATAGAGAATCCTCCATAAATAATTCTAGGAAGTCAGTTTCATCCTAATACCAAACAAGGAAAGGACACAACAACAACAACAAAAACTACAGACCAATATCCCTGATGAACACAAATGTCAAAATCCCTAGCAAAATACTAGCTACCCAAATCCAACAGCATATAAAAACTATAATTCATCATGATCAGGTGAGTTTCATACCAGGAAGGCAATGGCTTAATATATGCAAGTCAATAAATGTGATACACCAAACAGAGACCTCGGAGGCATCACCACACATCTACAACCATGATCTTTGACAAATCTGACAAAAACAAGCAATAGGGAAAGGATTCCCTGTTTAATAAACAGTGTTGGGAAAACTGGCTAGCCATGTACAGAAAGCAAAACTTGACCCATTCCTGACACTTTACAGTAAAATTAACTCCAGATGGATTAAAGACTTAAACATAAGACCTAACACCATCAACCCCCCCAAAAAAAAACCTAGGTAAAACCATTCAGGACATAGGCATAGGCAAGGACTTCATGACTAAAATACCAAAAGCATTGGCAACGAAAGCCAAAATAGACAAATGGGACCTAATTAGACTCCAGAGCTTCTGTACAGCAAAAGAAACACTCATTAGAGTGAATCGGTAACCAACAAAATAGGGAAAATTTTTGCAATCTATCCTTCTGACAAAGGGCTAATATCCAGAATCTACAAAGAACTAAAACAGACTTAAAAGAAAAAAAGAAACAAACCCATTCAAAAGTGGGTGAAGGACATAAACAGACACTTTTTAAAAGAAGACATTTATGAGGCCAATAAACACGAAAAAATGCTCATCATCGCTGGTCATTAGAGAAAT